GTAGATATAGTGAAAAATGTAAAATCGGCCCGCAGATCAGTTTTCGAGCCCTGATCTTTCCAAAAAATTTATATTTTCATTATTTTAATACGAGGAATTCATATATTAAATTTCAATGTAATCGGTTGATTATTTCTCTTTATATACACAAAAATGTATATTTGGCCCGTAGTAAACGTCCAGTTGCCGATGCCTGATTTCTTCCAAAACATAGGAATTTTCCCGGCCGATCAAGCGAAGCTTACATATGAAATTTCAAGTAAATCGGTTGAATAGTTTCTTTAAAATGGTGAAAAATGTAAAACCGGCCCGCTAAAAAGTGCAGTTCCCGAGGCCTGATATATCCCAAAAGTTGATCGATCCGTGCCATGGTGGAAATAAACTTACATATAAAATTTCATAAAAATCGGTTCAGTAGAACTTGAGATACACGCGTGCACACACAGACCGACAGACCGACAGGTTGCTAAAAATAGTTTATTTACACTTCCCTACTATGGAGAAGTGCATTCCCACCGAAAACTCGATATGCAAAATTTGTTGCCATCACATAACCTACCTATTGTTTACACAATACGGTCGGTAAAAATGTTTTCTTTTTCTTTTCGCACTTATTCGATTATTGTAGAATATAGTTTTTATAAAAATTATGATTAATCACAGAAGAGAACTGTTGAATATATTTTAAGTCAATATTAAATCAATATGCATTTTATCAAATTTTGACTTATAGTTCAAGTTGTAAACTATTTAACTATAATCCAAAATAAACTATAGTCCAATTAAGTGCTATAAAACAAAAAATCTGATGTGGTCAGCACATAACCGACCGCAATGTGTATTGTCTAGTTAAGTGAGAGTGTTACAGAATATTATAAAAATGTCTGTTAAATACTTCTTTCCAATTTTTAGGACATTAGTAAGCTTATAGTTAATATACTTAGAAAAATGTAAATTGGGCTTTTAGTAGAGTTTCGCTTTGTGCTACCCGAATTCGCTGTTCCAAATGCTCGCCAGTTAGTTTCGATAACAACCAAAACTCAAATATCAAATTTCAAGAAATTCCATCAATTCGTTTCGTAGATATGATGAAAAATGTAAAATCGGCCCGCAGATCAGTTTTCGAGCCCTGATCTTTCCAAAAAATTTACATGTTCATTGTTTCAATACGAAGAATTTGAATATTAAATTTCAATGAAATCAGTCGATTATTTCTCTTTATATACGCAAAAATGTATATTTGGCCCGTAGTAAACGTCCAGTTGCTGAAGCCTGATTTCTTTCAAAAGTTAGGAATTTTTATTACGGGCCAAATATACATTTTTGCGTATATAAAGAGAAATAATCAACCGATTTCATTGAAATTTATTATTTAAATTTTTCGTATTAAAACAATGAACATATAAAGTTTTTGGAAAGATCAGTGCTCGAAAACTGATTTGCGGGCCGATTTTACATTTTTCACCATATCTACGGAACGGATTAACGGATTTTCTTGAAATTTGATATTTGCGTTCTGGTTGTTCCCGAAACTAACTGGCAAGCCTTTCAGGGATTTTGGGTAGCACAAAACGAAACTCTACTAAGAGCCAAATTCACATATTTCTAGGTATGTTAACTAAAAGCTTACTAATGTGATGAAAATTGGAAAAAAGTATTTAACAGGCATTTTTATAATATTCTGTAACACTTTCACTTAACTAGACAACACACGCGGCGGTCGGTTATGTGCTGACCACATCAGATTTTTTACCGACCGTATTGTGTAAACAATAGGTAGGTTATGTGATGGCAACAAATTTTGCATATCGAGTTTTCGGTGGGAACGTACTTCTCCATAGTAGGGAAGTGTAAATAAACTATTTTTAGCAACCTGTCGGTCTGTCGGTCTGTCGGTCTGTCTGTCTGTCGGTCTGTGTGTGCACGCGTGTATCTCATGTTCGGCTGAACCGATTTTGATGAAATTTTATATGTAAGTTTGTTTCCGCCATGGCATGGATCGATCAACTTTTGGTATATATCAGGCCTCGGGAACTGCACTTTTTAGCGGGCCTGTTTTACATTTTTGAACATTTTGAAGAAAATATTCAACCGATTTACTTGAAATTTTATATATAAGCTCAGCTCGACCGTTTGCAAAAATTCGTATGTTTTGGAAGAAATCAGGCATCGGCAACTAGACGTTTACTACGGGCCAAATATACATTTTTGTGTATATAAAGAGAAATAATCAAACGATTTCATTGAAATTTAATATATAAATTCCTCGTATGAAAACTATGAACATATAAATTTTTTGGAAAGATCAGGACTCGAAAACTGATTTGCGGGCCGATTTTACATTTTTCACCATTTTGAAGAAAATATTCAACCGATTTACTTGAAATTTCATATATGAGCTTTGTTTGACCGTCCGTGAAAATTCCTAGCTTTTGGAACAAATCAGGCATCGGCAACTGGACGTTTACTACGGGCCAAATATACATTTTTGTGTATATAAAGAGAAATAATCAACCGATTTCATTGAAATTTAATATTTGAATTCCTTGTATTAAAACAATGAACATGTAAATTTTTTGGAAAGATCAGGGCTCGAAAACTGAACTGCGGGCCGATTTTACATTTTTCACCATATCTACGGAACGAATTGATGGAGTTTCTTGAAATTTGATATTTGAGTTCTGGTTGTTACCGAAACTAACTGGCGAGCATTTCAGGGAATTCGGGTGGCACAAAGAGAAACTCTACTAAGAGCCAAATTTACATTTTTCTAGGTATGTTAACTATAAGCTTACTAATGTCCTAAAAATTGGAAAGAAGTATTTAACAGACATTTTTATAATATTCTGTAACACTTTCACTTAACTAGACAATACACATTGCGGTCGGTTATGTGCTGACCACATCAGATTTTTTTGATTTGTTATCGTGCGATCGGACGGACGGATATGTCTAAATCAACATATCAAAGTTATAGAAGCATGAAGAATTACTTTTAAACCTTTATTTTACCTTTGGTTGACTTTGGAAATTTAATGAATTTAGGAAACGTAGGCTTTAAAAGCATTTTTCTATTTCTTTAAAATAGTTTTTTGTTATTAAACAAGCGAAAACACTTTAATTAAGAAGCATTACTTATTACTTCAAATTTGTAACTTATTTTTACAAAACCAGGAAACTTAAAACAAATTCCTAACTTCAACTCATTGATACAAACACATGTAACAGGTTAATCAATACTGAGTAAACTTATTCTTTCCAATTTATTCATTCATTTTATTACATACATGTGCAATAACCTAAAAATAAAGTTGTTTTAAAGCAATGGTTTGTCATGTAGCACTTTTCCTTTCAAGAATTGGAAATACTTCTTTTAAATACAATTAATGTACCTACTACAATTATAATAATTGCTTTAAATCATTTACGAAAATATTTCAAGAATTACATACATCTAGGATGAACAATTAATACAGTCTTTGAAATAAAGCAAAAAAAAAAATTTAAGAGCCGTTAACATAATGCTGAATTTTAAGCGCTAAATTCAATTCTTCAATTATAGAAATTTAAAAAGCTGGCAATTTCGGAAAGATACCAAAAATTTAAATTATTTCAGATTTCTACAACCTGAGATCTAGAAAAAAAACGACATAAAAAATTCGGAAAAAGCGGATTTTAGGTTACGGTAAATTTTAACGGCCATTTCGTTTTTTTTTTTTAATTCAAATATGGTATGTCGCTGTAGAAGAAGCCGGCCACTATATTTCTTCAATAAATAATTAAAAAATTAATTTTTAGGGTTTTGCGGGGTATAACTTTTAGAGAGGCGGGATAGTTAAAAATTTTCTTCTAAGAAACTAAGTTTCTACTAAAGATCTATATACCTATGAAAATGGAATTTATAAGATTTTGGCAATTTCATTACAGGAAATAGTCATAAAATTGGTAAAAATTTTTTTCACAACAATAAGTTTCTAGTAAAGATTTGCTGATAATAGCAAATTGAAATTATATTTCAACTTTATATCGAAAATTTTGTAAACAAACACACAAATAGAAGAAAAAATGCAACCTACTTACATAAAAATTTTAAAAGATTTTTATAGTTTGGTAATCCCCAGAGGTCAAAAGAGCCGTTAAAAAATTCATACAATTTTTGCTTAAACTTGAACTTTTATCTTATAAGTTTTCAAAGAAATGTTCAGACCATTTAAGTTGGATATTATTTTCTTAGACATACGGTAATAGCTCTATATACCTATAATAACTAAAATGTATTATATATTCTAAACAAACCATTTTATTTGGTATAACTACTACCACATCCTTATATAATTAAGTAACAGTATAAAAACTTTACTGAACTTGTATGACAGCACTAATTTTTTTTTTAAATAAAAATTCACTCAAAATATCTTTTTCTTTAATACGTCACAGATATTTTTCAAATTTCCTCGAATTCAATTAAGTAAGTTTTTATAAATGAAATTGTAAATTAAAAATCAAAATTTTATTATCAAATTACTATTATCTTGAATTATAATGAATTTTGCAGATACATATGAAAATTCTTAAAAATATTATTAAAGTGAGTACATACTATAAAAATTTAAATATTATTAAAGTGAGTAAAATTTTACATTCGTATACAGTTTAAATCCTCATACGTATTTCAAACTTAAAATACGAAAATCCTTTTAATATTAAAAAATTTCTTTCCTTTTGCACTCAAATTTATATTTTCGAAAAAGTTTACTCAAAAAAAAAAAATCAAAACTCACATCATACAACGCAGAGGGAGAGAGAAAGAAAGAAAGAGACTGTGTTATTTTTTCTCTTTAATTTATAAAAATTGGAAAATCTACAACCTAAAAACTCTCCTTTGCTTATATCAGTAAATAAAAAACTAATTCTCTTTTAGGCAAGCAACACAATATTCTATTTAATATAAAATCTTACCACATCATTCATTAACAGTCAGTCTTTGCAAATATTTCTGATAATGATGTAATTCGGAAGTAAAATTCGTTTGCCGGCATAACAATGATTTTTAAATTAAATACATTTGCATTGTTTATATTCATACATAGGACCTTTAAATAGTTCTACGTTAATAGCATGAATTCATATAAATATGTAACTAGGTAATTAATATACGTACATAGGTACGTAATGTGTATAAAATTTATATGTGTAAAGATATTTATAAAATTAAAAAAGCTGTTATAAAAAAACAATACTCATGAGGTTAATATAGTACATTAAAAAAATAAAAAAAAATTGAAACAACATCAACACAAAAAGGAAACGAAATTTTAAAGGATATTAAACGTAGACAAAATAAAATAGAATTTCAGTTTAGTTTCTTGAAGTTATTTACCTATGTATGTATATAAATTTTGTTAATATACGTTGTTAGTATATATGTATATGGATACGTACATATGTTTATGTATATTTAATTTTTTTTTACTCTTCATTTTAGTTTAAGATATATAATGATATACAGTGTATTTTATATTATTCGTTACCTATTTACAAAATTTTGTGGTTTGGTTAATGCCTCTTCTGTAAAATAATTAAAGATAATAACTTTCCTTTAGTTACATATGCGATAAAAATAATGTAAAAAAATAAGAATAATTTATATAAAATTTTATTTTATTTTTAGTGAAATTAAAAAATAAACAAATTTTTTTAATAATCACGCGATTTATATTTATCATAACGGTTAAATTACATGGGATTAATTATTGCGATACAGGATTAATCGATAAAATAAAAAATATTGTAATGTTTTTACTTAAATTGCACGCTTATAGGGCACTTAAACGCAATGTCGTAATGCTGATTCGTCAAACAAATAATCAAGTTTTAAATTACTACTTAAAATTTAAATACTTATTTTCTGATCATATTTTTTTTTGGGAAAACAGAATTTTTATTATTGCTTGATATTAAAATTGCCGACACCAAAAAATAAATTCATTGGTTTCCGACTTGTTTTTTGCTGTTTGTGTTACATGCATATATACATGTATGTACATTTTTATATCTTATATGGCGCCAAAGATTGAAGTATACAACAGTAATGAGTTTTTCTTTTTTCGATATTATTATGAAAAGCTTCTTAGTATTATAAACAACATGATAATTGTGCATGTACATGAAATGTGTAATGATTCATAAAACATTTTTCCTTTTGAACCATCCCTTAATATCAATATTGTTCCTCAATACAAATAAAAATATACTACATATTTATAAAAAAGTCTGCCATATAAATATTCCATTTATATCATTGTACAAATTAATAATAATAATTTCTATAAAATGCAAAAGGAAAACGAAATTACTGAAATGAAATAAATATGTGAAGGATATTACTTATAATCGGAAAAGCAATCATGCATGTTAGCATTGAATATGGATTTGCATGCATATTTGAAATTTTTTTAGTAAGACGAAAATCGGATATATACTGCATCTTAAATGATAGGAAATTGAAATTATTTTCATGAATTTTTTATTAAAATATTTGTAAACATATAGAAATAGTATAAATTTAAAAACTATTAATGTTATCCTTGTAATATTTAACAAAATATGTGCTTCTTTCAAATATGTTTGATCGGTTTCTCCGGTACATATATAATATATGAAAAATTTATCTTAATTTTCTATTTATTATAACAACTTTTTCTTATTATTTAACAATCAAGAGCCTAACAAAATCAATATTTACATATGTCTTCAAGCATTGTTCTCGGTAGCCCGTGTAAGGACATTGTATTTGAGACGAAAATTTCTGCAACATTCTTCACAGAATTTTTCGAATACGTTGTTTATGCAAATGTCTTATCTTTCTTAAAGTATCCGCCCATTTTTATGCTGAAATCAGTAATTCCGTGATTTGAATCATGTAATTATAAGAAATAGGTAATTTTTGCTGACCACATTGTGTATAATAAGGTACACACAATGTGGTCAGCAAAATATAATAAGGATAAGTGATACAATAAAGATAAGTGATGGCAACAAATTTTGCAAATTGAGTTTTGGTTAGGAACGCACTTCTCCGTGCTATGTGTGCCCGCCTGTATCTTAAGTTCGGCTCAACCAATTTTCATGAAATTTTTATGTGTTTGTTTTGACTATGTCACGGATTGATGAACTTTTGAGATATATCAAGCCTCGGGAACTAGACTTTTTAACGAGCCTGTTTTTGATCATTTTGAAGAAAATATTGTACAGATTTACTTGAAATTTCATATAATACAAGCTTCATTCGACCGTACGCGAAACCTCCTAACTTTTGGAAGAAATCAGATTTTAGCAACTGGACATTTACTACGGACCAAATATACATTTTTACGTATATACAGAAAAATAATCAACCAATTTCATTGAAATTTAATACTTAAATTTGGGGTGTTTTAAAACAATGAACATGTATATTTTTTGGAATGATCAGAGCTCGGAAACCGAGCTAGGAGCCGAATTTACATTTTTTATCATATCTATGGAACGAATTTATGGAATTTCTTGAAATTTGATATTTGAGTTCTGGTTGTTACCGAAACTTATTGGCGAGCATTTCAGGAAATTCGAAAATTTTTCGAATTCGGGTAGCACAAAGCGAAACTCTACTAAGAACCAAATTTACATTTTTCTAGATATGTTAACTAAAATGATACCAACGCCCTCGAAATTGGAAAGAAGTATTTAACAGGCATTTTTATAATATAACACTTTCACTTAACTAGACAAAATACATTGCGGTCGTACTGCAATGTATATTGTTGCCATAATTTTCTGTTTTAGGTAAACAGTAATTTTTTTAAATTTATAGCCGCTTCTTTTCCGAAACAATTGAGTGTGTAGTCAAACATTATTTTTTCGCTTTTAGTCAATGTCTGGTCTAAAGACTATTTTCCCGAAATTACTTTCTCCCGGTCCTGAATATCAGTATATCGAAGGATTTTTCTCTGTTCAACTTATTTTCTAAACACTTCAAAGATTTTTGAAATAATTAGATAATTTTTTTGAAAAACTATTTTTTCTTGAAGATTAAAATAATCCCTTATTTCTAAATTCGTGAATTTTTTTTCGAATTCCAATTTTTTCAAATTATCTTTGATGTTGAATATAAGTACCTATTATTAAACGATTGATATTAAAAAAAAAGGTTTTTCTTGAAATCGAAAAAAAAATTAAAGATAAAAATTAATTTCTAAAATATGCTGTATAATATAAAAAAAGTTAATTCCTTGATACAAGAAAGTAGAAGAAAATATTATAATTCCGGATATACACGCGAAATCCAATTTACTACTTACTAAAATTAAAAATATGTATGTCTTTTTTTTTTTTAACAATTACATTCTCCACATTTCTTTGTAAAATATAATTACCTTAATTTCTTAAATATTTCTAAAATATTTTTGAAATTGAAACTTTTATATGAAGTTGAATTTTCAAACCCCAATCATTGGAAAATTATTTTAATTACATATACAAACATAAATAATTATTCTACCTTCATAAGTTTTTATTCCAATATTGTATAAATTATTTTTATTTAATTATCAAAAGTTCAAAACTATAAATAAAATCTAAATTATAATAAATTAAAACTTTCATTAAATGATTTCGTAATTTGTTTATTAGAATTGGAATAAAGTTTCAAGAATTTTAAAACTTTCAATCAAAATTTAATAAGGTTTTTTTTTAGGTGTATGCAAAGAACACTTCCTTTTATTCGGAATGAAATACTTTTCATTTTTGCGTATAGCGCAGAATTTTATCAAAGCTAATTTTCTTTTCCTTTTTTTAATAAGGTTATTATTGCAAGTAATACAAAGAAATAATCAAATCTTCCCTATTCAGACTAGGGAGAATAACATGTTATACTGTTCGATTAATATATCATAGAAAATTGGTTTGACACTGGTTGACATTTTGTTTATGTATTTAAAAATTGTAAAAAAATATTTTGGTATTTTGTGTTCATATCTCTTTAAAATATTTTTGGATTTAAATTTGCTAAAAATTATTATGGGTTTAAATTTTTTGAAGTGTCCTTAAAATTTCCTTTGATTTAAAGAAAAACCCCCAAAAATAATTCTTTCACAATAGGAAAACTTGTTTCGAAAAACAGATTATTCTGGAAAATTTTGACAAATTTTCTCCATATAAAAGTTGTAGTTAAACACTATGCGTAACATGTTATTTTTTTTAGTGTGAATAGCGTATAATATAATATATTATCTAGAGGTGTATAGTCTTCGTATATAAATTTGAACTATGTATTAAAAAGAGGCAGAAAATTTACTTAAAAAAAAAGAGAAAGTGAAATTTTGTTCTAGTAAAAGAATTTAAAGCATTAAAAGTTCTGTGCAGAATATTATATTGAATATCTAGAATATTTTATAAATGTGAAGGATTGTGCAAAACTAAATGTTATTTGGAATTTCAACGCAAGAAGGAATATGATTAACTCAAAGGGTAAGTTCTATTCTTCATTGTTAATAAAAATATGTTGAAATTTTTCCAAAAATTTTTTCTTTTTTTGTTCTCTTTCTAATATTTGTTTTATTAATACAATGTAAATTCATATTGAAATCTCAAATATAATTAAGGAAAAATTTAAAAAAAATGCAATTCATACATAGTGAACATTAATAAAACAGATATTTTCTAAAAAATAAATATGGACTCAATCAATATTAACCTTACATAAAACTGTGTGAGTTTTCACAGACAGTAAATGTTAATAATTATAAAGTTTTTTATTCGGAATTTGCAAAAATATAATTATGTCATATACTATATTTCATTTAATTTTTCTTGATCAGTTTTTTTAATTATATTATAAAACAAACTGTGTTTATCAATAACAGAGCTCTTCACGGGATGAAAAAATAAACAATATCAATGACACAAATATGAAGCTCTTTGTCCCTTCATTTTCAAAACTATTTCCATAAGCTGGTTTTACGTCTTTATCTACTACTACTACTGATGACTTACATGTTTTCATTGATTAACATTATTCACAAAATTCTACAAGTACGATACCTATTTTGCAAATTACTATAATTCCGTTTTGAAACTCTATTGTGACGAGTATTTCTAGTATGCTTTTCTTTTTCGATGTGACCCACAAAAATTTATTGCTCGGTAGTCACTTTTTAATTTTTTTTTTAATTTGAAATGTTTCAATTTTAACCAACTAAGAACTATTAAACTACTAATTCCAAAAAAAATACAATTCTGAAAATTTTTTGACATAAAATTTGAAAATTCAGCATTAATTTGTAATATCGAACTCATTTCAGCCAAAAATGGATTTAGTGAATTTCCATATAGCGACGACAATATAATGTCATCAACCTTTCTCTGTGTTCCTCAAGTCCAAGCATCGAATCCAAAGATTCTAATATATAAATTAGGTTCAACTAACTAACCAAAAAGCCACTAAAAACTTTTTAAATCTTTTTTGTATATTTTTTTTGAATATATGTACAAAAAAAATAAATAACTAATTCTAATTAATATACATCCAAAAATACAAATTTCACTTTTAGAAGAAGATCATATTGCTGGAATCTGAAAATTTTACATCATCCCATCCCTTCAATAAACCCAGATATTAATTTTGCATGAATTAAATTCAGCCGAGCCTTATACAGGAGTAGACAAATCCACATTGTGGATTACGCCACTCTGCTTTTGAGCCCCTCATATATACTCGTATATAGCTACTTCTCAGGTGCCAAAAAGTACGGATACTTCTAGAAGGGCTAAAGACGTGGAAAAAAGGCACAAGGTTTTGCGTCTAGGGTTTTGGCTCTAGGGTCCCAGAAAAAGCAATAATTCCACCCACCCTTCCCCTTTACCTTCTCCCAAGATGCTTTGAGACCCCTTTTTACAAAATGGTACTACATCCTGTAGGAGTAAATTTTTTTTTAATTTTGGTGGTATAAATATTGTATGTAAATTCAAATTTGGAAGTGTGAGTTATAACAAAAAGTGAACACTTTCTTAAGAAAATTGTAAAGATTTAATAAAATCTACATTGTTTTACAACAAGTATGTACGTACGCATTTATTTATGTATTCTTTTTGCGATCAGCTGGAAAATGTTTTAATAAGCAAAACATAAGTGTACATTAAATTGCTTGACAATATATTTTTAGAACAAAATTTTATAAGAAAATGTTGTTCTATTGCATTAAACTCTTTACAAATAGGGTATTTTCAAAAAAATATTTAGAACAGAAACTCGCTGATATTGATTTGAAAGGTTAAAGCTTTTTTTAGTTTCATTTTAAAACAAATCTGATGTGGTCAGCACATAACCGACCGCAATGTGTTTTGTCTAGTTAAGTGAAAGTGTTACAGCACATAACCGACCGCAATGTGTTTTGTCTAGTTAAGTAAAAATATCACAGAATATTATAAAAATGTCTGTTAAATACTTCTTTCCAATTTTAAGGGCATTAGTAAGCTTATAATTAACACACCTAGAAAAATGTTAATTTGGTTCTTAGTAGAGTTTCGCTTTGTGCTACCCGAATTCAAAAAATTTTCGAATTTCCTGAAATGCTCGCCAATAAGTTTCGGTAACAACCAGAACTTAAATATCAAATTTCAAGAAATTCCATCAATTCCTTCCGTAGATATGGTAAAAAATATAAAATCAGCCCTTAGATTAGTTTCCGAGCCCTGATCTTTCCAAAAAATTTATATGTTCATTGTTTTAATACGAAGAATTTCAATACGCAAAAGCGTATTACGCAAAAATGTCTTTATATACGCAAAAATGTATATTTGGCCACTTGGTAGTAAACGTCCACTTGATGACGCCTGATTTCTTCCAAAAGTTAGGAGGTTTCGCGGACGGTCGAGCGAAGCTTATATATGAAAATTCAAGTAAATCTGTTGAATATTTTCATAATAATCAATAATGTAAAACAGGCCCGTTAAAAAGTGCAGTTCCCGAGGCCTGATAAATCCCAAAAGTTGATCAATCCGTGCGAAATAAACTTACATATAAAATTTCATCAAAATCGGTTCAGCCGAACTTGAGATACATGAAATACAAGCACAAACAGACCGGCAGAACGACAGGTTGCTAAAAATAGTTTACTTACACTTCCCTACTATGGAGAAGTGCATTCCCACCGAAAACTCGATATGCAAAATTTGTTGCCAACACATAACCTACCTATTGTATACACAATACGGTCGGTAAAAATAAAATTATCAACAAAAAAAAAGTTCATCCGGCAAATCGCATTTTCCAGTGTTCAAACCGGGGACTTTTTGCATAGAAATCGGATACCCTATATAGTATTAGTATAAAGTTTTAGTGTCAAATCATTATAAATTTACGCGTTTTATTCGCATGTATTATAAAATCCAAATAGTCCATGGATTTTAATAATTGATCGCTTAAAGTGCTCATTGGCAAAGGTATTTTACATTTTTATGAGACATAACTTTAAGCGGGGTTCTAAAATAAATTACTTAAAAGATATTAGATCTCAAAGGAACTGATTATTTGTTTAATTATGTACTTTTTAGCACTTTACCAAAAAATTTTTGAAAAAAAGTGCTTATTAGTTTCACTCTGTCCGTCCCGTCCGTCCGTCTGTCTGTGTCTGTTTACAAAAGTTCTACACCCTTGAAGATAGAAAGCTGAAATTTTACATGTACATAGATCTTTACTAGAAACTTATTTCCGTAGAACAAAAGTTTTACCTATCTCTCCCCCTTTAGAAGTTATACCCCCCCAAAACCCTAAAAATGGCCATTTTTAACTATTTGTTGCAATGAAACCATAAGCATTTTTCAAATTTTTCAAACGCAAAAAGGCAGTGGGTTGCTTCCCCTAGCGCGGTATACTATAGTTAAACTTTAGAAAAACAAAATGGCCGTTCAAATTTACCGTTACCTGAAGTTCTTTTTTTCCAAATTTTTGATTTCGTTTTTCTTCTAAACCCTAGCCTGTAGAAGCTTGAAATTTTAGGGGCTTTTAGACATTAACAAATAGTTCATTTCGTTAGAAGAAAATTTTTTTCCATCTCCACCCGCTCTCAACTTATCGCCTCTTGAAATTTCTAAAATTTGAATTTTTGACACCTTATATATCTGAAACCGCAAGCTTTTTCAAATTTCTATAAACACAAAAACCTAACGGTAAAATCCATGACATTAAAAAATATAATTATTTTTCTTAACTCACACAATTAACCCTTAAAATCGAGCATTATGTTAACCCCACTTTATATTAATTATTGCTTTATTTGAAGGACTGCATAAATCGTTCATCCTAAATATATACAATCCTAGAAATAATTTTGTATATGAATGAAAATAGTTTTAATAGTGTGGTAAGTATACAAAGACTGTATTTAAAAGCAGTATTTTCACTTGTTGAAGGGAAAAGTGCTACAATACAAACCATTGGTTTGACCCAATTTTATTTGTAATTATTTTTAAGAACTTTTCTTATTTTAAGTTTTATCTTATTATTTATTTTAAAAAAAGCATATCTATATGTACATTACGGATGTGTTTTTGAAGAAAAAAAGTAAACTTAAAATATCTCATCCACAGAATGGAACACAATTTCAAACCTACAGACATAATACTTGTAAGGCTTGTAATGCAAGCAAACACGACTAGTTTTTAATATAATAAGAACACGTTATAATTTTTAAAAATATAATGTCAAAAATCTATACATACATACATGTTCTATAAAAATAAGGTGAAACATTTAATATTTACGTTATACGTTATACGCAAAAATTACATTCTATAAAATATTGTTCAGACGTCACGTGTAAAAGGCCAAAAAATGTAGCTATAGGAATATCGTCTCTTCTTGTCTTTAATTTTGTTAAATCTAAGACTTACAAGTTTCTAAAATGATAAACATATCAGACCAGACAGCGAAAGGTAGAGTAATAAAATTTCATATAAAATTTATCCTTTAATCGTATATTTTTTTTTTTTTTTTTTTTTTTTTGTCTTTCCCGAGAGGAAGGGTGAAAAATCTCGAAAGACACTGCCAGACGAAAAAGCAGTAGTGTGGAACTTTAATCCACTAAAAAACACCCTCCTCAAAATACTCAAAATAAACTATAAAACTAGTCGAAAACGATTAACCATTAATTTTGCTCTAAAATTTTTGATTATTTACAAGCTTTTGATCTGGCACAATAGCGTACTAAGTACTCATTGTTCCAGATAAAAAACTCTAAACTAACTCGAGAGGTCTCGTACGTTTAAGTCTCCTAACAAAGTTTTGATTGTCAACCAATCGAGCCGCCTCGATATTGACATGATTGGATAAACGCATTTTATGATTGGCTGCTTGCTTTTTAATTTCGTCTGTTACACTTAGGATCGTGAGATCCCTGTGTATATCGGCATTACGGACATACCAAGGGGCGTTTACAATGTCCCGTAATACCCCATTTTGAAATCTTTGT